TTATTACTACTGGGAGTCCACGTAGAGTCCATACTGCCACCCAACACAGAGGGAAGATCTTTACTCACACGACTGTTATTATTATTATGATGATGATTATTATTATTATTATTCTCATCATTACTACTACTACTAACAGTCGTACTCATACTGCTGCTATTATTATTATTATTATTACTATTACTCTCACAATCACAACTGCAACAACTGCAGGAAGAAGAAGATGATGAAGAAGAATGAGGACCATCACTACGTATACTCGCATCTGCTGTTAATGGTGAATGATTCGTTGAAGAGAAGATATGCCTCTGTGTGGATCTTTCCTTTTCCCTTTCTTGTTTTCTTTTCTTTTTTAATTGTGATGCTGCTGCTGCTGATGATGATGATGATAGTGGTAGGGAAGTAACGGCATTTAAAGATTCCACCATTGCGGCTGCGGCGGTATTTCGCAGCCACGCCGACGGCACAAATCGCTCCGCCCACGGCACTAATGCAAACAACACACAAGTGAGGCCTTTACGTAAAGTGGGGGTTTGTGTGGGTGGGATGCGAACATGACGCCAACCACCCATTAAAGATGGGGAATCATCACTGCAGATCTCACTATCCACTAGATAAGAAGCTTCTACAGTTCCCACAAGAGAAGGATCTTTCTCTTCTTTTTCTTCTTCTTCTTCTTCTTTTCTTTGTTTTTGTTTTTGTTTTTCATTTTCTTCTTTTGCCTGTTGTTCTTTTTCTTTTTCTTTTTCTCTTGCTGGTGGTATCTCAGGATTCTCCTTCTTTTCCTTTTCCTTTTCTTCTTCCTTTTCATCTTCTTCATCTGATGTCTTTTGACGTTCCTCCAAAAAGCGGGATTGCACTCGCATGAGTTCTGCTTGTGTCTGATGTAATTTATTCGTCATCATCATTAGTTTGGCCCGTAGAGCTTTAATCTCATCATCTTTAGAGACAAACACATCTGGATGAGCAGCAGCAGCAGCAGAAGAAGAAGAATAGAAATCCAATCGAACGGCGGCTTCATCACTGTTCATATCCATTTCATGATCTTGAGAGAAAAAGGGCCCCTTGGGGGAACTTATATGCGTGGAACACATTGGGCAAATTAAAGGATCAGCATCGGAAAGTCCATTTCCACTACTTCTCTCATCTCCTTCTTGTCGATGTTGAGATTGGGATGGTTGTCGTTGTTGGGATTGTTCTTGTTGTTGTTTTTGTTTTTGTTGTTGTTCGAGATATTTTCTTTCAGAAATTCCCTTTTCTTGTTCAAGAGAGGCAATCCGACGTTCCGCTGCTAATAACTTTGCCTGTAATTCTGCCATTGTTGTGATACGATTTACGACTGGTCGATTTCGAATGAGTTTCGCATCTTTTGCAAAATTTAATGTAGATAGTGTTTCCGTGGCATTCTTTCCATCTGGTAAGATTGTGCAGAGGAGTACAGTAATTGTATTTCCCCCAACACTATCCCGTAATAGGCGAGTGAGTTTGGAATCTCGAAAGGGAATATGTCCCAACTCTTCTCTCTTTATATTAGCGGCTGCGGCTGCGGAGAGTTTACGAATAACATTTCCCAATAATGTAAGAGATAAATTAATACGTTGGGCTTCTTTTAATTGAAGTCCCTCTGCACCAGTAGCGGCCACTCGCTCTGATCCTGCTAAATCCACAAATGTTAATAATGATTGCACCCAACCATAATCCCCACCATGTTGTTCCTTCTTTGCCATCATGGTAGGATCGCGTTGTTGAACACGAACAAAAAATAATAAATGAGAACGACTACTTCTCGCATTTAATGCGGTGGATGCCACTTGACGTTGTTGAACGGCAATGTTCACTGCCCGCATAGCCTCATTAAAATCACAGACTTTATGCCAAGAAAGTCCTTCCACTTGTACACCAGTACCCACATCTCGAATATGAAGTTCTGGTCGATGAGATGGGCGTGAAAGAGAATGTCGACCGGAGGGTAATGGTGAAAAGGAATTACGAGAGTCTGAGATAATAGAGGCGGAGTAGCGATGGGTTGGTTTAATGGTAATCATACTACTACTACTACTACTCGTTCCTCCTCCATATTCACTTCCCGACCGAGGTGCTGTATGAAAGAGTAAATCTCGAAGTTCTTCTTGATAGAGTTCCACTGCACTGATATGTACTTGCCAAAGCCAATTCTCATCATTTATTTTCACACTTTCCCTTCCTTCTCCTTCCATATAATCTTCATCATCTTCTTCTTCCTTTTTTTTTTCTTCTTCTTCTTCTTCTTCTCCCTCTATACCGGCATACTTCTTACGAAGTGAAAGAAAGAGTTCTCCCAACATTCGTGGTAATAAACCCACATGTTCACCATCTAAATAAATATCATTCTTCTCCCCACCGGGTCCAAGTATAGTGTGAGTCTTTCCACTTCCACTTTGTCCATAACAGAGAATAGTGCCATTATATCCCTGCAGTATACATTGAAGTAATTTATGCCCTACACATGCCATTGTATCTCGTTGACTTGCATATTCATCCAAAATAGCATCAAACGTGAAAGTTCGCTTTTTAGATTCCGGTGATTGAGACTCAGAGTTGGCGCGTTTTGAAGATTCTCGTGGTAAATATGAAGAAGCGGCAAATCGAACGGAATCTATTAATGGTGGGGACTGTCGAGAAGAAGTGATGTGTTCAATAATACCTTGTTGAGGATCAATCACATTACAGCAAAGCGGTTTATTATTATTATTTGAGCGACGTGGACGTACACGCACCACAACAGAGATATTTCCCGCATTATTAACAGCATCCATATTATTACTATCCTCCAATGGGACAGGAGCAAAAGAGACATGAGGAGTTTCTGCCATTTCTCTTAACATACTAGGAACTGGCCCCATAATAGAGGCAGTGAAAGATAAGGAATGCGGAATATCCACAGGCGTTTCTACTCGAGGAGATTGAGAACCATTTTCTCGTAATTCCTGCTGGAGATCGGTTGCCAATCGTTTTAAGGGAGTAATGGGAATACCTCCATCGCCGCGGACACTGCAGTGATGAACTCCACGGAGTACAACGTCTGTAAATAATAAGGATTCTTCTGAACTATCCAATTGTGGTGGTGGTTGTTGTTGAGATTCTGATGGTCGACGGGTTTGTAATAGTTCTTGTGGTTTTTGTTGAGATTGAGATTGTGATTGGCTGAGCTTCTTCTTCTTAATGGTACTGCTGCTGTTGTTGATATTTCCCGTTGATTTCATCGGCGTGATGTTACTGTTACTTCTGGTGGAGGATTTCATCCTAATATTCATCACAAAAAGAGAGTTTTTCTTTTTAATTCTTTTTTTTTTCTTTTCTTTCAAGGTATAGTTTTTTTTTTTTTAAAGAGGTGTGTACGCTTGTATTGTATAGATATGTCTCTTTGTGTATATATATATATATATGTATATATCTATACAATAAAGAAAGAGAGAAACAGAGAATCATAGAGATAAACACAAGAAGGAGAGAAAAAAAAATACACACATACATATACACACATGTAGAGTAAACAAGGGAGAAAAAAAAAGAAAAAAAACCAAAAAAAAAATCCCGTTTACAAATGGAAGAAAGAAATAAAGAAATAGAAACAAACAAACAAATAGGAATAGATAAGTGAAACTTGCAAAGAGACGTTAAATGCAAAAAGTACCTTCGATATCAATCTTCACATTGGAATTAAAGCATTACAGGAAATAAGAATAATAACAATAAAAGAGAAACATCATCATCATCATGTTTATTTTCTTATTAGGAGAATGTACAGATTTCTCTCCAATATAGAGTCTCACTTTGGTAATAATCTATTATATATATATATATATAATAGATAATTGATTCTTTTGTCTTGGATCAATTTCTTTGGGTTCATTGACTATATATTGCTCTTATTTTTCTCTTTCCTTTTCCTTTTATTATTATTATTATTATTATTATTATTATTATTATTACTCCTTCAGTCTTCCTTTGGTTTACACTCTTTTTCTCTTTTTTTTTCTTTTTTTTTTTGTTCGCTCTTTTTATCACAAATCAATATATTCTTCTTCTTTCACGTTTTCTATTATTATATCCTCTCATTTATCTCGTCTTTACTCGTTGCACTTTATTTTTTGTTTTTTAAAGGTAAATATATTGACGGTATAGTAAAAACAACATATATATAAATGTAAACAACATCTTAGTAGTAAAATCCACAGAGATTGTATTTTTATTTATTTATTTATTTAACAACCAGAAGTCACAATCACTGGCTTTCCACCTTTACGCCTTACACGTTCCTGTTGAGGATCAAATCCTTTTTCATGTGAGCGAAAGACGGCCCATGCGGGTGTGGGAGCGGCATACTCTGCTGAAGTAAAGTCCTTCCGTCCACTCTGGGCTAATTGCATAAACTTATCGTAATCAATCCATGTATGCCAAACCCCATTTACACAGAAACGACGAAGAGCAATAAGAACACAACAACTGTGTTCATGTTCACAGGCAATAGCATATGGACCAGTAGAAGTAATAGTCGTAGTAATAGTAGTATCATCCTCCTTCTCTTCGTTATCACTATTATTATTATTATTATTATTATTATTATTATTATTACTACTACTAACAACCTCTTCATTTCCTGTTGGCATCCACACCGTCTTATCTCTTGGCGGTGTACAGTTCTCCAGTGCTGCACATAAAGCCTCACAAAACTCCACCACCTCCGCATGTCGAGGGACATTTTCTTTCATTGTTAGTGTAGAAGTACTACTCGTTCCACAATAAGTCACTCCTTTCACTTCAATAAAGTCTGGCCATCCTAATCGTACCAGATCTGCATACGCCGCAACATTTTCTGTATTGTATTTATTTACCAAAGTAAGTCGAAAAACAGTTCGTTGTGGTTTACGGCGAAGTTCCCGCACACAATTTAAACATCTTTCCCAGTAATCCTCAAATAATGGACGATCCACACGTTTTAACTCCTCTGGTGTTGGGGCATCTATAGATAAATACAATTGGGTAACGGGTTTTAAATCTCGTAATTGTTCAGGAAACTGTGCATTTGTGACCATAAAAGAAGAAATATGTTTTTCATGTAAAAGATCCACAAATTCATTAATCGCTGGATACATAATGGGTTCGCCTACTAATGAAAGTGCACAATGTCGAACTTGCATGGCTTCTTCTAATCTCTCGGCTGTTACGCCTGGTACGCCTCGCATTTGCCGCAACATCCGTTGATGTCCATTCACGGCTTCATTAATGAGTAATTGCGGTGGATCCACACGCCAACGAAATGAACGGCCCACTGGATTTGTATGATGTCGCCAACAGAAAACACATTTATTTGCACAAGCGAGACTTGGAGTCATTTCCATACATTGATGCGAGGCGATATTATAAAATGTATGTTTATAACAACCCCCACGTCCACGCAGCATGGCTTTGGTCCATCTACATAACTTCACACCACTGTGACTACCAATGAGATGATATCCTTGTTTTTGTAAATTGGCACGTAAACGTGGATAGAGAAGTTCAGGAGGATCGTTATTATTATTATTATTATTATTATTATTATTATTATTATTTTCATCCATATCATCCATTACAAGATTTTCCATATCATCATCTTCTTCAGCACTATCATTATTATTATTATTATTTTCTTCATCATTCTCATCTTCCTCATCATCTTCGGAATCTCGTTCAGCGTTTACTCGTGGAATCCCATTCTCTTCTTCTTCTTCTTCTTCACCTTTATTATTATTATTTTTATTATTTTTATTAAGTTTCTTCTGCTGTCTTTGTAGGAGTAATTGTTGTTTCTTCCTTGTAATCACCACCACACCCTCTTCTGTAAACTGCACACGGCCCATCCATTTCATTAACGCTGCAGAGAAAACATTAAATAGATTCACCATATTCGCCTCACTTGCATACACCGGGGGAACCACAAAGGTGGCTCCAAGTCCTTTACACCATGTATATAAATTCTTTGCAAAGCGATTAAAATAAGTCTCACCATAGGCAATATCCCCAAGTCCAAAAACAGCAAACTTTGTCTTTGCAAAGACATCACGAGAAACTCGAAAATCATTATAAGCATCTAATAACATCTCTGCAAAACTCTGTGAGGCTTCAGGGGCAGTTCCATTCGTATGTGTACTGGCAATAAGAACCACAAGTCCATACGCATTACTCTCAAGAAGATGCTCTACACTACACTGATGGGCATCCTCAGCGAGTTGTAATACTTTCACCTCAGGCACTTCCCGTACACGATCTCTACAACAATCACTACGCTTATTATTATTATTATTATCTTTATTATTATTATTATTATTATTATTATTATTTGCACAACAGCTATCCATTCCATCTACACTATTCGCCGCCTCATATAATGCGGCTGTCATGGTAGAAAAAAGTTTATGCGCTAACTTACATGCCGTGTTGCTCTGAGTGGCATACGCAATGAGTATCTTCTTTACTTCCCCTTTACGAGTAGTAGTAGTAGTAGTAGTAGTAGTAGTAGTATTACAGCAACAAGAAGAAGAAGAAGAAGAAGGGATGATGGGGATATTGCCATTCTTTTTCTCTTCCTTTCCATTTTTTTCCTCTTGTTGAGATGCGGCTGATAATTTGGCCTTTCGTTGTGTGTGGAAGTAGGCATCCAACCATTTTCCCAATAATAGGGTGGCTGCGGGAATAAGGAGGAGGATAAACACCCACCAGAATACATCAGAGAGAAAGTTAACGATCATCATATCCTTATATATATATATATTGTTATTCCCTTCTTTCTTTTCTCTTAACCACTACTGCAGAAGTGGATTTTTTTTTTTTTTTTAAAAAAAAGGGTGGCAATAAGAGAGAAAAAGAAAGAAAGAGAAAATAAATTTGGGGAAAAACAAAATAAACATACATACATAGATAGAGATATACAGAAATAGGTGTAATATATATATATATATATAAACTGAAAAAGAAAGAATAACAAGAACATACAAAAACTCCCCCTTTCACTCCTCCTCCATCATCATCATCCCATTTAGAAAAGAAAAAAATAAAATAAAAAAACTATACATGCATCATCATCATCATCCAATACTTTTGCTTTTCCTTTTATTTTTATTTCTTTCAGTCCCCACCATTACAGGAATCCTCCTCCTCCTTCTTCTTGGAGAGTGAACGCAGCCATTTCCTTCGTTCCTCATATGTCCAGAGATCAATAAACCAAAAGACAAACAGAGTTGTCAGTGGTGTGAACAGCAGGGCTATCGTCCAGTTTACCGTAGAAGAAATAGCCTCAAACATTAATATTGCCGCCCTAATAATAATAATAATAATAATAATAATAATAATAATAATAATAATAAAATAACAGTAATGGTTAGTATTACTTAAAAATAATAAAAAAAAAAATGATTCTATTGTGTAAAACTATTCCTGCAGCTATTGCCTTCTTTTTTTTTTATCTACCGTTCTTTTTTTTATTTTTCTATTTATTTTATTTTTTTTTTATTCTTTTTCCTTTTGCTTTATTTGATCGTACTGTATATTTTCCTGACTTACTATATATATATATATATAAGGGAAAAAGAAAAAAAGAAAAAGAAAGAAGTATTCTTTTCATAGTTAGATCCATTCACAGATGAATACCAAATAATACTTTATCCACACAACCACTACTCCTCATTCTTTTTTTATTTTTTATTTTTTTTCCCATCCAATGATGAAAATAAAAAAGCATTACATGATTGTCTAGCATCATACTATACTGAAAAGGGAAAGAGGAGCAAAATATAAGACCACTAGAGATAATTTCTATTCTTTTTTCTTTTCCTTTTTCTTTTTCTCCCACTACTAACCCCACCTCTTTTACTAAGAAAGAGGCATACCTTTTTCCTCACAAAGTGGGTCTACATGTACACAGATAGATAAATAGATAAATAGATAGATAGAGATACCATATATATATATATATTTATTTCTTCAACTTCCCATCAAGGGCATCCAATGCGGAGAGTAACTGTTGACGAGCACTGGCATGATCATAAAACTGCAATGCACTCACCGCCTGTTTGCAATACTTCTGTGCTGTAATCATCGCCTCTATGGAAGGTGCACTTCCACTACCAATACCACTTTTATTACTATTACTATTACTATTAACAGTGGTATTAGTATTCGCTTTCCAATTATTCTGTGGTGTATGTGTAGAAGAGGATGGAGGAAGTGAAGAGTAACTAGGCGGTGGAGGTGTTGTTGTTGTTACTACTGGTGGAGGAGGAGGAGATACTACTGGAGATGATTGATATTGATGATGTTGAAAGGGTTGAGTTTTATATCCACCCGCTTCTTTATTATTATTATTATTATTATTATTATTATTATAGTGATAAGGAGGAGGAGGAGGAGGAGGAGAAGGATCTTCTTCATTATGTAAATTACCTCCTTCTTCTCCCTCTTCTTCTTCAAATGTATGTTCATTCTTATTTGGACTTACATACGGTGTACCTGTATCTAAGGCTTTCTTCATACGAATAGCGATATATCGGGCGTAATTCCGTTTCTCTGCAGCCACACTATCTACACATCCATCCGGTGTAAACTGTGCAGTGGCATCAAAGAGAATAGAAGCCGTAAAGAAAAGTTGAATTAATCGCAGCGAAGCCCCCGCACCGGATCGTTCCGCATCATCGGCTTGTGCAAATAACATTAATGCATATCGTGTTAATATCGTACGGCCATCCACTCCAGTGAGAGCCTCGGCGAGTTGTTGTTTTTGTTGCTCCAATGCATTTAAGAGACGAAGTAGATATTGTTTACACCCCGCTGTATTATTATTATTATTATTAATATGAAGATCACTGTTGGAATTACTATTACTATTACTTCCAGCAGCTGCTGTTGATTTCTGTTGTTTGTGTAATTGCATGGCGAGAAAGGCGGCGTGTGTGCGGAGGAAATACGCCACGACGGGAACACGAGAGTCAAACTCATCCGCACGTTGTAAGAATGGCCGTAATGTAGATACCCACGCAGCGGGAATACCCTCCGCGAGAGAAGCACTGCTGCTGCTGTTATTGTTATTATTATTATTGTTATTAGTATTATTCATTTTCTTAGTTGAGATAGGTTTGACTTTGTGTAGGAGAGTATTTTTCTTTTTCTAGTTGTTGTTGTTGTTGTTTCTTGATGACCTGCGAAGATCTCAAATAAATAAATAAATATATAGATATATAGATAAATAGATAGAGAGAGATAGAGAGAGATAGAGATAGAGAGTATGTATATATGATAGTCTCATATAGTAAAGGATTAAACGAAGGCAAAGAAAATAATAATAATAATAATAATAATAATAATAATAATATAGTGAACACTCAGGAATACCCGTAGCAAACAGAGAGAAAAAAAAACAGAAATCAAATCAAATCAAACAAGAAAAAAAAAAACAAAGACTGTAGTACTCGATATAACTTCTTCTTATTACTGAAGATAAGTACAAAATGACAGATCATGGGAAGAAACAAACTCTATTCACTCCTCCTATACTATCCATATATATATATACCATGATAAGAAGAAGAGTAACAACAACGAAAAAAAAACAGTCTTCTTTTATACTAATATGAACAATGGGACTCTGATTGTATATATATAACAACTTTTTATCTATTTATTATTATTTTCGTTGTCGTTGTGCCTCCCGCAATGCCCGTTCCCTCCGTAGGGCTTCTCTTTCTTCTTCTATTCTCTGCAGTTCCCGCACCTCCCGCTCTGTTCGCAGGACTTCACTTTTAATTCTCGCCATTCGTTTATTCATTGCATAGTATTTCGCCTCACTTCCATGTTCATGCCGTTGGGTTGCAGTGTTTATTAGCAATCGTGATAACTTCTCCTCCTGCATACGTAATTGTCGTAATCGTAAGAATGGATCCGATACCACAGTTGGATTTTCTTCTTTTTCTTCCTTTTCTTCTCTTTCTCTTTCTTTAGGGGATATGTATATACGGACTTGTTTATTTTCCACAGCAGAGGCCCGAGGTGTAGAGCTGCGAGGATAATGATAAGAAACTGGAACTGGTATGGTACGGGATGAGGAATTACTGCGACTCGATATTCGTCTATTACTATATACAGTAGAAATCCCCTTATTATTATCATTATTATTATTATTATTATTATTATTATTATTATTATTATAGTGATTATTATTGAGATTGAAATCCATGTAAAGGGCTGACTCCACTTGTGAGCTATCATTTGCATATCGTCGTCTATATTGTGTTTCTATCATATGAGGAATAAGAGATGATCTCTGCTGTTGTTGTGATTGTTGTTGTTGTTTTTGTTGATACAACCTTCTTACTCTCTCTTGTATACATTCCATAGAATCTTCCTCTTTTTCTTTTTCTTCTTCTTCTCTTTCTCTTTCTTCTTGTATAGCTGTACAACTCAAGACGGATGGTTCACTACTAGTACTCTCACTCGAATGACTATTCTCTCTATATACATTCTCCTCCTCCTCCTCCTCATTAGAAGTCACTGAATGATGATGATTAGATTCATACTTAACTTCTGTGATGACTGTGGGTGTTGTTTGCCTTTGTGGAGTGTCTACAGTCATTATAGTGTTTATTCCATCTACATTACAATATTCTTCTTCTCTACATATTCTATGATCACCCATTATTATCTTTTTTTTCTTTTTCTCATTATTATTATTATTATTATTATTATTATTATTATTATTGATGATTTGGGCTCTGCGGAGGGCGAGGGCCAGTAAGGGAGAAGTGGCCTCCGCAATACAAAGTGAGAGATGCTGCACTAATGCCATTTCATCCTCTAATGGATTACCAGGCGGTAACCAAACACCACTATTACTATTATTATTATTATTATTATTATTATTACTATTACTATTACTTCTTCTTCTTTCTGGAGAGTCACTTGTATAGGAAGGATGAGCGGATAAATGTGTAAACCACTCCCCCAACATGGGCCGCAGTGTTTGTTGAATAGTGAGAAAATCCGCTAATGTCGATGCACACGGATTGGCCTCAAATCCCTCAAATGCCGCATCCATTCGAATGAAAAGATCTTTTATTTTTATTTGCATGTGTGTAAAGAAAGTGGACCAGAGTCTCCGCATCACATCACACACACGAGAGGCGGCATCTGCAGCCACTACGGTGAGAGCTGCGGTGAGTTGAGAGGCGGTGATAGCCATCGCGTTGGACTCTTCTTCTTTTTCTCTTTCTTTTTCTTTTTCTTGTATAGATGTGGAATGATGGATCTTGTTAATATGATGATGATGATGGCCATTCTTCTTCTCCTCCTCGTTATTATTATTATTATTATTATTATTATTATTATCATTGTTGTTATCATTCGGTAGGGTAGATACAACAGAAGATACGGGAGATCTTGGTGATGTTGAGATGGATGAAATGGGCTTTTCTTTCATTATTGTTATTTTATCATTATTATTATTATTATTATTATTATTAT